AGTAAATACTATAAGCTTCTAATTGTGATGGCTTATAAGTCTCTATTGGCATATACCAAACCACCATATAAACCATTTCTGTGATAAAGACTTTGCCTGATATAGCACAACAAACCCCCAAATGTCCCGTCCGTACCCCTGTCCCGTCCGTACCCCCCACCTGTCCCGTCCGTACCCCCACTTTTAGTTTTTAGCCAAGTACTGTGGAAAATGGCATTCCAATTGCTTGAAATACACATAGTAAAACCTTAAAAGATACAAACATTTGTCCTCCTTACTAAAATTAGTAGTTTTTAATGAATTCATCAACATTTGCTTTCACCCGGAGGAAGCTCTTGTGGACATTGTCTACTCCGGACTCACGTGCATGTGAACCAACTTTAGAGAACTGTTCTGGTTCTCTGAAAAATGTATTAACAAGCCAAGGTGTAAAAGAAAACATACCAGTTCATGTACATTTTGTAGCTGTGCTAGAAATTAAGATTCCTTCAAGGGAGGAGGGTTGCCAATAACTCTGAATTTAGACTACAAATCCTGCAGCGCCCCCCCCCCATTCTTTTCTTTGAGCACACTCAAATATATAAATGTACAGGTTCTGATATGTTATATTATGTTATTAATGCTGTTACTAATGTTCCCAAAGCCTTTTTAGCAATATTAGTAATTAGGATCCCTACCATCAGCTGATTTTTTTAAGGAAAGCCCTAAATTATATAAGCCAGAAAAAGTTTCTGTTCATACTATAATATACAGAAAATTCTAATTAGAATGTCCAGCTCCCTTTTCCTTAGTCTAGACACTATTACAGTGTTTGTAGATACTTCATTTCACTGGTATTAGTGAATAAATGTGTTTCAAAAGGTTTGGACAAGTCCCTGCAGTAGCAGTCTTCTGACCCATTGTGTCCCGTCCGTACCCCCACATACAATCATAAAAATGATCATTGAAAAGTCAATTGATGTGTTTCCAAGATATACAAGCTAGAACCTTTTGTAGAAATATATACAGAATGAAATAATAACAGAGTTAAGCTTCCAAATTGCCTGAACTTGAAAATTTGGTATTTGACCTTTCCTTGAACATGAAATGGCAGCAAGTTGTTTTCCTCGTAATATAATAAATGACCTGAAAATGACACAGCAAAGTGTTACTGCAAATCAAAGTCAGTTTTTTGGTGTTGTGGATAATAGTAATGGAAGATAATATGGAATAGTGTTTATCTTTTGTTCTGTATTTGGGTATATTCAATGTAACTTTACATACAGTCTTGCAGTTGTCCCGTCCGTACCCCCTTAATGACCCATTATGTAAAAGACCTGTATCACAGTGACCGAGATGTGTTGTGCAGAGATATTTTAGGATATGAAGCCCAAAGTATGTACCTTTGAATTACCAACATAAATTTTGAAGTATATGAAAGTTGATTTTTCACCCCAAGTGACAGCCTTTTGGTACACTCAATTGTGAAACAGCCGAAAGTTCTATATAGTTTTTCGTTCAGTGTAGTATAGTGGGATTGGTCTGGTGAGATTGTTTATATGCAACTTGCCTTCGTCACCGTGTTATTTCCCGTACCTAATGAGAGGTAGGGGGAACACAGCTACATTTCCTGTGCCCCCCAAAAAATCTAGTCTGATTTTAGAACTTCTGCTCACCTTTAACAAGGGAGTCAGCATGCCGACCGCACCTTGTTTATTGGTGACGTTGAAGAACGCCACGTTCCCCTCCGTTGCTCCGTAGAACTCTACAATTTGCCCCACCCCAAATCTCTCCTGAAACTTCCCCCAGATGTCCGGTCGGAGACCGTTCCCGTAGGACACTCGGACGCTGTGATTCTTGTCAAACGGAGTCTAAAAACAGATTATTGTCAGATGTGAGTTGATTAATATTTGAATGTAAACTATATACACAGACACTCACAGTGAAGATATTCCAACCAACCAACCAACCAACCAACCAACCAACCAACCAACCAACCAACCAACCAAACAAACAAACAAACAAACAAACAAACAACCAATTGTTTTAGATAGAAATAACAGTACCTTTGGTTGAGCACACAGATATCTCAATAGCTCTCCGATGTGCTGTATCATAGTCGCGTTGTATTTGCGACAGTCGTCCCAAAATCGTGTTGCTGAAAATTTCCTGGCCAGTGCCATGGTGAGTCCTACAAAACAAACCACAATAAAAAAAGTTATCATGTGATTAGATGTGTTCAGGGAAATCAATACCATGGGCGATAAGTCAACACTTGGAGGTATCTCGTGTAACGCATTACACCACAGCAAAACGCAACGAATGCGGGAGTAACTACGCCAGCACAGGGCAAGTATAAGGGTTTATGACCTGATTAAGACATCAAATTATTTGAAAATAATTAAAAAATTAAAAAATAAAAATTGAAAAAGATTGCCAGCAGGACAAGGGTTTTAATGAGAAAAAAAATCAACATATTTCTTATCAACACAGAGTAGCTTTCTTTCTAAAGGTAAGGCATCGTATTCATTTGGCATGTGCATGTACCTACCGTACTCGATAACACCGCCCAGACCAAACAACAGGCCACCGGAATGATACAGGGGCAGAGTCACGTACAGGACATCGTCGTCATTCGGCTTGGAGACCCCGAAGATACAGGCTGCACCAAGAGCCTTTCCCAGGGTCACCTTGGCAGCTTTGGGGAAACCTTTGCAACGGATAGAATAGCATATGGTCAAGCTTTATTTGTATCTCCGTCTTTTCTATGAATAGAGAAAAAGACGCGCACAATTATAGAGACATACAGGACACAGGATGTAACGTTACAGCAAAGTTCATGCCGTTTTCATAGGGTCTCTGATCATAAAACAACGTCACGTTGACAGACTCTAGCTAGGCGTTACATTTATTCCTATGGTATGTGCATTCAGTGGTGTTTCGCAAAATAAGTACAAGTTACTATCTATTTTTTTTTCAGAAGTCAATCTCCAGCAACCTAATGTCGTCAATCCTGGACATGCTATTTGGCAACGTAAATGTCTGTAACTAACGTTATAAAGTACTGGAAAAACAACACTTGCACCAGAACATATTGGTATTCAAACCTGTTGTTCCGGATGTAAAGATGTAACAAAAAGTGTCGTTAACGAGGATGCCTTCTCGTAACTTGAATGGGATTGGCTGGTCGGACGATTGACTGATTTTGTCATCCAATGAAAGAAAGCCTTGGGGAGCAGGTTTGTCTCCCTGTAACCAGACCCTCACACCAAGCTCCTCCAGTGTCGGTAGGATTTCCATTGTTGCCTCCAGTAAAGCATCGCCTGATATGGAAAGTATGAGCGATTTAAGTATTAAGATACGTGTAGATAACAAGATGATTTTCTTTTGGGACAAATTTACTTGCATGAAGTGTAAGCAAAATTGATGGAAACCTTAGTCTACTGGGAAAAGACCCCCTTCATGTACTATAGACAGCCCCTCTCTCAATAGTCTCTAGAAGTATTCAATTTCTATTCAACTGTATCCTGGGATCCTACGAGCAAAGGTGAATGACCTACATGTTGTTGACTTGCAGCCTGTGAGGGGGTGAGCAAGGTCGTAGCTTCAAAACAAAAATCTCACCTTGTCCCACAATGAGAGCCTTCGTATCTGCCTCCGTGACGCAGTGCAACAGGGACTTGCTCCGATGGTTGGTGTTCAGGAGCGCGATCTTTACCCCCAACTTCGCCAGGCCCAGGTAGGTCCAGACGAAGGCTGGCTCGTTGTAAACCAACATGGCGACGTTGTCGCCGGGATTGAAGCCGGACTCCCCGCGGAAGTAGTTGGCCACCTTGTTGGACATGACGTCCATGTCCCTGTACGTGTAGAGCTGGTCCTCGAACAGGACGAAGGGCTTGTCTGGCTGGAGCTGAACCTGGTGGAGGAAACGGTCCACTGGAGAGACGGGGGGCTGGGCTGTAGTGTACCGCCTAACGCGGGATATCGGGCCTCGGAACGTCCGAATAAACTTCAGGTCCGATCGGATCTGGGGGTACAAGACATTGAGAGCCGCCACGGCGGTGGAGATACCACCAACAGCCGCATACAGAGCAGCCTCTGTCGGCTTAACCATGGTGTTTTACACGAGCACAGAGCGATTCAAGTGCTCTCTGTTCGGATACGACTTCCGCGAAGTTCACTGTGGCGTCCGACCCCTGACCTTTGTCATAGGCAAGTTAAGGCCATTGACCTCTTTCGTCAAGAACACACAATGCAGTATTTACTGTGGTATTTATGATTATAGAGTGGTAAGAAAAAAAATAGAAATTCTTCTGCACGCGGTAGAGAGGTGCACGTGACGATTGTACTGTATTGTATATTGCCCGAACGCCAGGCTCGGTTTTCACGGCCAGCTCCTAGGCTCCAGGGCAAATTGCCAGGGTCTAACTCAGGGGGCTGTGTTTTTGTAAAGTTTCATCGGAAGCATATTCACGACCCTAAAGCCCAGGCGCTAGCTAACACATATGTAGGCCAACAGTCACATGATTATCGCCTTGAAACAAAGTAATATTGTACTAAAATAGTGTGAACAGATGAATCCGTCTAGTATCGTGTGGTAGGCACATCGATGGGCAAAATCGTCGCTCTCCGGTACACTAATTGACTAGACTTTTTTGGATCCCGTTTTATAGCCAAACATTTCTGTTCGCGGTCTCAGTTAAAGCCATGTTGATTGCCCAAGCACCGGCGGGTTGGGACTTCAAAAAACATCATACTAGTCATGGCCAACATGGTTGATTTGGTGGTGGGCCGAGTTTACCAGGGCGGTGGGCCGAGTTGACCAAATTTGCGATGGGCCGAGTTGGTAATGTTCTGAGTCGTCCTGATTCCGATCCGGCCTATGAACTGCATGCAATCTGAGGAACATCTAGGACTACATCATGGTAAAGCAATACGTAGACTTCAGCCTATGAAACATATATATCAGGGCGTATACTGAGTCCATTTGCAAACAGAATCTTCTTTTAAAGGAACGGAGTCGTGGGGATTTTAGGTTGATGTAAAATCGCCCTCTGTTGGCTCGATAATGCAATTCATCGACCCGTAAAAAGAAAACAGGAAAGACCTCGACCTTCCTATCTATTGACCAGGGCTCATAGACCTTGTGTCTCGTGCAACGAATATCTCGGTCAATATAGCAGGTTATTTAGTTTTTATGTACTTTCATTTGTCCACAATAAAATTCCCGAGTAGATAATTGTCTTTGTTCTAGTTTACAGCTTCTGTTGAGAACATTCAAATTGCGTGACTTCTTAGAGAATCGTCTATTTATAATAATAGACCTTAAAACCTGACAACATAATCGAAATCGTCAACCGCACTTTCAATGTTCCGACATATGTAAAAAGATATTTTCAATTCCTCAATATTAAACGCATTGTACTGGCGACTCTTGCACGAGAAAAGGCCACAAATCCACCGTTGCTAAGCAATTACTCTACACATACATATCAAAACAGACATAAATGGTCATTGATGGGGAATTGCCCGGAACCTGTACTATCTCAATTGTCGTTCAAACGTTCAATTTCACAATTTAAAAAAAACATACTGTTGGACAAATTTGTATTCATTACCCTTTACAAGCCCCTTGGCCTTGTTGTGTAAATGCTAGAAATACTCCATGTCAGACATGAGGATGTCACGCAATGCTCTCGAAACATACAAAATGAAATTAAAAGCAAATTAAGTAAAGTAGCCTGAAATTAAATAATTCACAAAACCAGTGTGATGATGTATCTAACGTATGCGTATTCAAATACAGCCAGTTACTCTAAGTAACCGGGTTGCTCATCTGTTACAAGTACGCGTAACCATATAAATGATCCTCCGTGTCTCATACAATTTTCATCGCTAACAAAGTGTTTTGTTGTAACCACTTTTCCATCTAATCGTTCGATCTCACGTTCCACTTTTCTTTGCTGTTGTTGAATAAGAATGCCTGGTGTAAAGGTGGCTATCAGCTATATGGACCACGGTCGTGACACTCGGTCAAGTTCAACAACCTTTACAGTTCTGTCTCTTTAACTTCTTGTTTCTCACGCTATGTGCATTTGAGAATATAACTCTTGAAAAGTGTTCATTTATCGTGAATGTCGTAATTGGGAAGATTATGGCATCTTGAATAGCTCAGCTGTGAAGGCTGAGGTATAAAGAAGGTAGGAGTCAGTGCCGATCGCACTGGAGATAGTTGGACACCTGTCTGTCTATCTCAACCGTCCAAGGGTCGGTTTGGGTGATTTTGAAAGGTGGGTGAAATCTCCGTTCCGTTACTTTAACTACTCCGCGGCTGCAGTTTATTTATGTATCTTCTACGTACCTTCTACGCCATGTAAATCTCTGCTTATTTTAGTTTCTCATTTCATCTGTTATCAAGTTCAATCAATCTACATGTACTTGCCTTGTACTCAATTCCAAATATGTTCATCTTTTTATTTCATCTTCACCAATAAATACAATGAGAAACGATTACATTATTTTGTTATGGTGTTCTTGAAGATTTTCTTGTGTCAAACTTTCAAAATTTCTATTCGATTGGGCAATGTATACGACTACAAAGCAGGCTTAAATGTCAATGTTTATCCACTGGTTCTGTTTTTTATCGCAAGGTCTGTGCTTGAAGCTCACCTGTCCAAATTATTTTTGCTATGGGAACCACGAAGGCAAGTAACCTTTGTTGTTCTAGTCTTCATATTATCTGTTTCTCATAACAAGAATTCCACAAATGTTCTAAGAAAAAAAACTAGCACGATCAAACTTGTTTCATTGTACAAGAATGGCTATCAGTGAAAATGTAAGAAGGATACAAATGTCTGTCTTTGGTTCCGCTACCATACCCGCTACATGTCCAACATGAATGCATGTACCTTCTAATACACAGTATACGTAAATACATGTGTACGTAGCCCTAAATTTAGATTCATCTATGCCAACAAGAAGGACTACGTCCAAGTAGATTTGCCTATTCATCACAAACACATACACAATCTTTTATTCCCAGAACTCTCAAAATCATGCAACAGCAGAGCATTGTTTGTTATTACTGTTACATCTGTATTTGTATGTCAATTTATTTATTAAATGTATATTTATGTCACTACATTATGTGTACAATATTTTAAGGATGACTTATTGCATTTTATTGTAGTCCGATGATGCTGAATTTTAGACGGCTGTACATTGCAACACAATTCAGGACTTACCCCTGCCATGTTGTTCTGTCAAATAAAGTTTCAAAGTTCATTGTTTACTTGCCTTTTTCTCCATTTTCAGATCAATGTCTGTCTCCTTGCTTTATTTTTGACAATCTTAAAAGGTGAGGTTATGCCCGATGTTTCATTTTCATTGTGTAAGATAATAAGATTTTCTTGCCCTTTCTACAGATCAAGTCCTTAACATTTTATTAGTTGTCAAGTTGAAAGCTTTAAATTGCGCCATTTCTTACTGCTTCACTGTTAACCTATTGTTCCAAAGGTACAAATATCGTCTCAGGCTACCCGAGCATCACAATAGAGTAAGTTCTAATTACGTATCTCTGAAGTTTTATTATTTTAGAAGAGGACCACTGACATAACTTGATAGCTTTCTGCATAATATCTAAAATTACTTAAAGTATGCTCAACATGCTTTTTCTTTGTGAATGTAACACATCTATTCATTCATTCTTCTTGTGTTGGCCTTCATTTCGTATTATCTGCAAGCATGTAACGTTACCCAGGGCGGAATCGGCACTATATGGGTCATCTGTCTGACTGATGTATATGCAAACATGACCGTACATATATGTACTTAATTCAGTTCACCAGCAAAGCCATGACTCTCAAGTGAGAAGAAGTCAGTGAAAGCTGTGATAGACGATCATCATCGTCATCACTTTAATAACGTTCTTTATACACGCTGTTTAATCGGTATGTACATTTCCCAGGTGTGTCCAAAACTGCGCTTCCCTCCTGGACATCACCGCGGTGTTCGGGATCAGGGCCGTTTGTACCGACTGCCGGGACCCGCTCAGAGAGCTGACGTTCGCCTGGCACATGTACGAGCACGACCTGAGAACCGACACAAGCAAGGACATCGCCGATCTGTCCGCCATTCGGGTTCAACGTACGACATTCCTCTTGTGGAGTTTTTGAATGAATGAATGAATGAATGAATGAATGAATGAATGAATGAATGAATGAATGAATGAATGAATGAATGAATGAATGAATGAATGAATGAATGAATGAATGAATGAATGAATGAATGAATGAATGAATGAATGAATGAATGAATGAATGAATGAATGAATGAATGAATGAATGAATGAATGAATGAATGAATGAATGAATGAGTGAGTCAGTGAGTGAGTCAGTGAGTCAGTGAGTCAGTGAGTCAGTGAGTGAAAGAATGAATGAATTCAACTCACAGATCACAATTCAATATCTTTAACGTATCAACGTTGCAGACAAAAAGTAGCATGAATGGCGCTGATATTTACAAATTATATTGATATAAATTTAAAAACACATATGCATACACTTACTTGGCAGTTCCCCAATTTTTCCAAGAAATAAAATTTTGAACACCTGTTATATATGCGCTACTAAGTTTCCTCACAGCTCCCGTACAGGCTGCGCAAATTATCGCGAGCCGTCGCGATAGAATTGTGGTCGGTCTGCCGTTCGTACAGGTCGCTCCTGAACGTTTCCTCCCGGTTCTCTTCTATTGCGCAGTGATTTGTCAGACAACTACGTGCACGCTCATTTGTGCTGTGATTAAAATCAGTACCTTGTTGGTATAGCGTATTTGCCGCTGCTATGGCATAAGGCATTTCTTCTTCACCGGCCTCGGCATTTCCCATTTTGAGATTCGGATTCTCCATGTA